CCAACCAAGTGTGCATTTATACTCTCAGACATGTGCTCAGCACCTTGTTGATGCCTGAGGCGCTGCCAGGGAGGCAGGAGGATTGATGAGTTACCCCTATTGCCCAGAATTAGGGCTCTGAGATTGCCTGAAGTGTAATTGTCCCTTCTGGCAGGTCAGCCCATGTTTCTCTGAGCTCGTCACATCCCAAGGGTCAATGCAAGATGCAAACAGCTCCTGCCCAGCAGGCCAGGTAGATGGGCTGGAAAGGGGTTATGAAGCTTCTGGCTCTTGTAGCACACAGCAGATGATGTTTAAAATCAATGTCTCCATTTCAGACACTTAGGACCACCTGGGGTTGAGAGGACTTGGTGCTGCCACAGCCTCTCCCTTCTCCCCATGCCTCTCCCCCAGGGTTAGCAGGGGTAGGGACAATTACATCCTGTGCTGCAGCCCCACAGGGCTGGGTGAGGAAAGGGATGAAGAGAAAACTGGTGGTCCCCAAGGAGATGGAAAGGATGGTGGTAGGGCCATGGTGGCTAATGCCATCTTGCCTTTCTGCTCCACGGCCACAGCCCAGCCCCTCTGCAGAGGAACCATGGTGTGTACTGGCAGGAGTGCAGGACCCTGGTGTCAGTGCTGCGCTGAAAAAAGCGTGTTGAAAAATGGAACCAGGAATGAGCTGAGCTTTTGAGAAGATGCTTGCATTCAGCGCCCAGAGGAGCTCAGCCTGCTTCACCTGTTAAAGAGGACATTGAGGGATGCTCATCTTCTCGGGGCAAGCTGATAGCTAATATAATGTGATCCATCACCTAGCAGACAAAAACTGAACAAAGCCCTATAGAAATGCTGCTTTTGGAACAATTCACTAGAAATTGTGAAGCCAGCCAAAGGAAAACAGGAAATTTTTAACAGAGAAGGTAATTGGCATCTGGGACAGGGGATGAGAGCTGGGACAGAGTCTCTGTCAAACTTGGAAATCCAATCTGTTCTAATACAGCTACTGCTGATGTGTCTTGGGTCCTTTAAGAGACCAAGGAAGAGCATCACAAGGGTCATCCCTGCCTTTAAAAGACAGAAATGCATCTTTTCTCTCAACACCTCCTAATTTTTACAGATTTGCTAGTTCCTACTTCTCTGGGTTTCTTTGCAGAACACTTCAAAGTCCCCCACAACTCAGTGTGGAAGATTACAAGTTAAGTAACTTCAAAAAAGCAACACACATACCCCCCCATTGATAATCCTGCTATCAAATTATTTCACTCATTTCTTCACGCTGGAGCAGGCTGTCTGCCCCTGCTCCCTCCAAGTCCCCTCCTTTACTGCCCATCTTTGCTATTTACCTTTGGCCTCAGAGCAGCTGTGGTCTCTCCTCTTCCCACTTCCCCCAGGCAGCTCCATCTTCTCCAGGCTGGGGATGTTGCTTGGAAGCCCTCCTGGGGTAAAGACTGCCTGCCTCCATGCTCTGCGTGGGCCTGGAAAACCCAGGGATTTTCTCAGCTCTGAGCATGGGTCAGCACTACCAGGTCAAGCTCCCTGGGAGGTAGGGTACGAAATAAGGTCACCTTCCTCTTTTGTATTGATTTTTACTTTTCTCTGAACATGCAGTAGGAATTTGAGTTAAATGGAGCGTGGATTTTAATTTTTGCATATTAAATTTCAAACAAGGCCTTATTATCCCATGCAAATAGGATTAATCTGCAAAAGCAGCTAACTTTGGGGGACTTAATCTCAAAGGTGATATTGTACTTTATTACTGGACATCAATAGTTTTTGCATCTCTGTTCAGAAAGCATGCCTCAAATCACAGCCAATCGCTAAACAAATGTAAGTTTTTTACATCTTTGCCCATAATCAGGAAACTAGCACAGGAATGCAGAATTAGGATTTGCTAATTCCCCTTTAAACCGATACTACAACTTGCTGTCTTCTGTTTATGTGAGCATGCTAATTAATTTATGCCCATGCATGGCTCGGACAGAAGCTTTACAGTTGTAGGATAATGTGGCATTGCAGGCCAGAATAAAATCAGAGCCTAAATAATGCCTAGAAGCACAGCAATGACATCATCGGGACACTCAGTATCAGTTTTGTATACTTTTCCTCTTATTTCTATTATTAGTAGCATTAGTATGAATATTATTATACTATTTTCCATTATTATCATATTATTAAAGTAGTTTTAATTTCCAATCCATAAGTCTCTCTTCCTTTTCTCCATCCTTTCCCCTCCCGGTGGGAGGGGGGTGTTTAACAGAGAGCATCTGCCACCCGTTGAAAGAGCTGGCTCAGTCTTAAATGGTGACATACTCACATTTCTAACTCCCTCTTGCAACTTTTGTTTCAGCACCGTTGTTTTATGACCCATGCTCTCCATTCGGGTTTACATGCACTCGCTTCACAGTTCACTTCTAGGAAAGATATATGCGCTTTATACTAACGTTCTTGCACTATAATCTTTCTCCTTCTAATCTGGATTCCAGTTTTACCTATTCTCATCTTGTGTGTTGGCTTCACATGAAGATGTAAAAGCTGTAAGAAATTAAAGCCATTATCTTCATCAGCGATACTGAGAACCTGCAATGACAGTTTTTCAGATTTCCTCAAATATCAGAGTAGTTAGGTTATAAAGACAAAATAAATGTTATGCTATATTTTTTATTCGCTATAATCAGTCAGCATCTGAAACAAAACCAAACACGCTTCGGAATGCTTTTTTTCTATAGGAATAATCAACACAATACTAAGCTACAATTAGTATCAAGGTTAGGTAACACACTCTGGTATTAATGGTCCCTCCTTGAGTTGAGGAAGGCTAACCAAAGGATGCGCAATCTTGACAAACGCAGACAGGATTCTTGCACACAATGTGCACGCACACACACCACTAAAGAAAATACTCCCCATTTCATAGTGCAGGCAGGCAAAAGCCAGACTTTTTATTTAAGTTTAAAATAACAAATACTCACCTACATCACAGTATACTGCTTAGTTTATCGCTTCTGCTTTGAATTCTGTGCTTTCATTTCACGTGTCTACATTTTGCAATTGTGTACACGCTACAAAATTAACTTTGTATATCATTTAGCATCTGTGCATATCCTTTAGGGTTTAACGTTACACTGAAATTGAAATAAATATTGAATTTTAAGGTATTGAAAACAATCAATAAAATTTCACTGAAAAAAACAGTATAAATGTTTCTTGTAGTACAGTACTCTTAATTTTATGTCAGTGTCATTTTAATGCCATAGTTTTCAATTACTGACTGTATAAAGAGAAGCCTAGGGAAAAAAAAATTATCTAAAATGCCATTCCTAAGTCTGTTAAACTCTGGTGATTTATGATATATGTACAGTATATAAATATATTTATGTATATATGTACATATATATTGGTTAATGTTCATTATAAATAGAACTGTGTTAACTTAAGCAGTATAAAAATAGCCACTTTCCTGGGAACATGCAAACACAGTATGCTCTCACCTAATCTATAAAACCCAAAACAACCAAAACCTTTAGCTCTGGTTCTCTATAAATATAGATTTTCATTGAAGACTTTCAGCTGATTTAACTATAAAGTAGGTTTTTCCAGTTAAGATATAAAATCTGTTTGATGCTAGCTATAAGTAAGCTCAAACACAGTATATTTTGGGTTATTTACTTTCAAGTATTTTTCCCACGTGCGTTAAATCTAGACACACTGCATTTTTTTCTTTTACAGTAAAGTATTATTCAGCACTAAATACTAAAAGCCAAATTACAGGCAACCTGGCATGCTTGCACTGCAGGGAAAAGGCTCTCCTCTACACTATTCCTATGTGGGAGGCTGTCCTAATATGGCTATTTGTGTTCCAGATCTTTTGTTTGTTGCAAAGCATTATCAAGATTCCCATATCATAGATTCTTAAGGCCAGAAGAGAGAGTACTACAACCACTTAAGTCTCCTCTCCAGCTCACTGAAATTTACTCCAAGGTCCCTGTATTCAGCACAGTGACTGGTAGCTGGACTAAACGCCTCTCCTGTTACAGCCAAAGAGGTTCCAGCTTCAGAAGCTGAGCGAGATCTTGACTTTTTAGTGATTTTTCCCAAGGGGAAAAAATTTCGGTTCCATCTGAACCAAATGTGACATTTTTCCTTTTTTCTTGCCATACGAAAAACTGAAAAATTGTTTTGTCCTGAAACATTCCCTTCTCCTCCAAAGTGCTCCGAGTACTAGTTAGAAAAGCAAAAGAAGAAAAAGGGGCTACGTTCAAAGGTGACACAATTTCTGTTCCTCTGCTTACCCATCAGCTCAGCAGACAGCACACACTGGGTCGCACTGTGGAAGAAACAGCACTGAGTCCTCCTTTGGCTGAACAGATCTCAATCATCTACTAGGAGAATGCCATAAGCACAGGACTACGCCAATCGTGGCATATGCTGACTCTTTTTCACTCCGTTCCTCATAGCTGAAAACCACTCCTGCCCACTTCAGAGGACAGAGGACTGAAATACAGCTGTCTCCTTTCCCTAACACC